CCGCACCGCCGCGTCCGCCACTGAGCGACCCCGGGCCGGACCCGACTCGGCCTCCGCCGCCGCCGCCGCCGCCTAAGCCGGGCCCTCGGCCCCGCCCCCGGGCCCGCTCCGCGCTGAGGCCCGCCGCGATTGGCTCCGCCTCGCCAGCCCCGCCTCAAGCTCCGCCTCCTCCCTCCCCCTCCGGCCCTCGCTATTGGATCGTCCCCAGCTGTCTTCCGCGATTGGTCCTGCCCGCCGCCGTTCACAATCGCTTCCGCCCTTCGCTGCGCCGGAAGAGCACGCCACGCGCACGCCCACTTCCTGTTTACGCGTCCGGGGAAGGGCGGGGCCCAGGCAGGGTGACAAGGCGACGCGGAAGGGCCATGGGGAGAGGGGAGTCACGTGCCGAGCGCTCCTCCCCCAGGAAATCGGGTGCTCGCCCCCACCCCACCCCCCAGGGTGCGGCGGGCTGCTGGGGACGTCCTGGATCCCAGACCTGAGGCACGACGTCCACACCCCTATATTCAGCTTCGGCTGCAGTGCAGCGGACCTCCGGGATGGGACCCCGGCTCCTGCCCAGAGTGACCGCCCCCTGGACTGGGACTCCTCCCGCCCAGGGTGATCGCCCCCTGGATGCGGACCCCTGCCGGGGGAGACCACTTCCCTGGACGCACCTCCTGCCCGGTGTGACCACCCCCCGGACTAGCCCTCCCCCCAGAGCGTCAACATCGCACAGCAGGGGCAGCGCGCGCTTCGGGGACTGGAGGAGCGGCGGCCCGCGGAGCAGAGCTCTTTCCTGAGCACCTCCGCCTTTCTGACCGCGGGTTCATGGATGGAGCGACGGGTACATGGGCCCAGGCTGTGCTAAATGCAGAGGTGCTCCCCGCGCCTAGGGAGCAGAGCTCCCGACCCTACTCCACGGAAGGGGACACCAAGGCACGGGACCTCGTCACTCCATAAAGGGCCGAACCAGGATTCCTTGTTGCTGCCTCTGCTCTTGTCCTCCCGGCCCTAGAATTGGATCTTTTCTTGCTCTCAGTGATCTTGCCTGCAGCTAGCGGCACGCTGGGCAGCTGCAGGCCCTGCCAGGGACCCCAGCTCCCTGGTCTTGGCACCCACAGACTCCAGGGCAACCTCATCTCCATCCACCTTGACGCGTTGTCTTGGAGACCCAAGGGCTGTACCCGTGACAATTTACAAATGTCAGCACCTGTGATTCTCACCCGGTTGGTCACTTTGGCCTTCCACTGCCTCTAGTCACACCCCAGATTACTCCCCCCACCAGAAAGGCTTCTCGACTCACCCCTCCTGTGTCCATCCTCCAATACTCAGTTTAGAGCCCTGTCCCCAGGAGACACTGCCATTAACTACCCTCACTGCTAGTTCTTTGCTGTTTCATATAATCGTCGGCTCCACGCGTGCCGGTCAACCTGCTGTGTGTGTGTGTGTGTGTGTGTGTGTGTGTGTGTGTGTGTGTGTGTGTGTGTGTGTGTGTGTGTTTCTGTGCCCTATTAGCTAGGCAATTTCGAGAAGCCAGCTCCTGGCGTATGACTGCGCTTTGGAGTTTATAACCCCTTTCTTAATTCTTTGAATTTCACAAGACCCCAGGGCTGTAAATGCTCTCTTGTATACATGCTGCAGTTGCAGAAACAGGTCTGGAGAGTTCTGCCCAGGTGCCCGAGGCCGCCAGCTGGTGCGGCCATGCCAATTAGCCAAAGCCCTCCTGGCTTGTGCAGACTGGGATGCCATCCCGGTCTGTGAACAATTGCAGGGTGGCTGGCCTTCCTTCCCAGGACGTCCCTCGAGGGAGAGCGCTGAGCTCTGCACACAGCAGGTCCTCAGCCGCCCCCTCGCTCCCCTACCTGGACGTCAGCAGCCACAGAAACAGGAGGGACGAAAGTACCTCAGATACCGAGATAGCTTTGATACTTTGCTTCCTGGAAAGACTAAGGTCTCAAAGAGGGCTGAGTGAAGAGGCAGTGACCTGCTTCTAGCCCCGCTGGCCTGCTGAGGCGGGGCGGGGACAGCTGCTGCCTCCCCCTGGGGACCAGGGGCCGGGTCACACCCGCCTGGGGCCCTGCCCCGTGGGGAGAGGGAGCCCCCTTCTCTGGCAGCCACAGCCCCTGGCTGAGTCTGCTCTGCTGGTCCCCTCAGGGTGGGCCTGAGTCGGGCCCCTGAAGGGCAGTGCCCACTGACCCCTCTCCTGAGTCCCCTTATTATAGGAGCTCAGCAACGGCAGCTGGGCGTGTGGACTCACGGCAGGGGCTTGAATCCCGGCTCCCCTACTTCTGTCCACTGGACTTGGACACTCATGTTCTGTCTGCCTCAGTTTCCTTTTTTTACTGAGTAGGGATGATAAAAGTTCCTGCTCCCCCATGGCTGTCGGGAGGAGTCAGTGAGTTAAGACCTGGGTTGTGCACAGCGCCCTGCCCAGCCCGTGCCACCTCAGTGTCAGTTGCTAACTGTGGTTGTGCTGTTCACTGAGGCTCTGCTGAGGGCCAGGTATATTGCAAATACTGCCTGTGCTCGTGCATGGGGCGCCGTATCACCCCCTTCAACCGAAGAGAAAACAGTCCTAGAGAGCTTGTCACTTTGCGAAGGTCACACATCTACAGAGAGCAGGGGCCCTGGATTCCAGAGCCTGTGCCCCAGCGCCCACCCTCGCCCTTGTGCCAGTGGCTCCTGGGGGCAGACAGAGGAGAGCTGTCCTCCACTGGATTCACCGGGAGCCCACGTGGTGCTCACGCATGCTCAGACGCAGTGACAGCACGACTTCACAGCGACCTCGATCAGGGTCATCTCCGCGGAGGTGAGAAGGGGGCCACAGTTCAGGGGTTGAGGCTGAAGGCTGGGAGTGGGGAGGGTACAAAGGGGACAGCAGTGATGCTGGCAGGTGGCAGCGGTGTGGGGATGGAAGAGGCCTGGTCATTTTGGCGGGATGGCCAGCCCCCGAGGGCCCTGAACCTGATACTTAACCTTCCTGCTTCTCTTTCCTCATCTGGAGGGCGGGGATGATGAAACCTGGCTCCCAGGCTGTCACGAGCCTCTGACCAGCTCACACGTGCCGGGAGGACTACCTCATGCCCTGTGCAGCCCTGGCTCCAGGTGCCCCGTGGGTGTCCGTGGAGTCAAGGACGGGAGTGAGAAACGGGACGAGCGCTCATGAATGGACCCGGCGCCTGGCAGAAGCTGAGGGGATGGAACCTGGAGCCCAGGGGTCGGGGCTCGCTTAGGGCAGGAGGACACCATCTGCTCAGGGACAGATGGAGAGAGCTGAGGATGGTTATGGACAGGTCGGGGTGGGATGCGGATGCAGTGGGGGAGGAGCGGGTACTGAGAGGTTCTGGGACATCTGCTCTCTTCAGGTGGGTTGGGAAGATGGAGCCGGGAATTTGGGTGAGGACGCTTGGTTCAGAGTAGCAGTGATGAGCAAAGAAGCTGGTGAGGGCCGGTGTGGGGACCACTGGGCTGCAGGGACACCTCAGGCACGTTCGCAGTGGAGCCTTCCACCTGGCAGCTGGTGGGAGTGGGAGAAACCAGTAGCTAGACTGGTCAAGACTGGGTGTTTGCCAGCTAGCTGTGGTCAAAGGCAAGGGGAAAAGGGGAAGCCAAGATCCTACGAGGGAGTATTCATAGGGGTCACGGATGTCGCCCCACTTGGGAGCTAACAGGCTAGCCCGCCGCGGTTTCAGGGATGGTGCAGAAGACGCACGAGCCCAGGTCAGAGGCAGAGGACTGCTGTTCCCAGGGAAGTAACGTCCAGGGTGTCAGCGGGTGTCTGGAGGATGCTACCCACGGTGGCCGCATCACAAGAGGGGAACCGGGGGCCTGTGAACAAGCCTGGTCCTCGCCCCTGAAGGTCCCTCTCTGAGCAACGGCCCCGGGAAAGGCGGTCAGGGTCTGGTGCCTGCTTCTGGCACGCCCAACAGGACGTGCAGGAGTGTCTCCCAGCGGGGTCAACGGGGTGGACCTCGAGTCCAGTTTCTGGTCTGGCAGAGGCAGCAGTGGATCCGACGAGGACTGGTGACCGGGAGAAGGTCATCAAGAGGATGTGACTGCCGTTGGCCCTCGAGGCAATTAGAGTGTTGACGAAAATAATCCGTAATCTAATATAGGGATCGACACAGAAAGACAAGTATCATATGATACCGCTTATATGTGGAATCTAAAAAGAATGGTACAGATGAACTTACAAAACGAAAGTAGAGTCACGGGTGTATTAGAAAACAAACTTATAGTTACCATGGGGGAAAGCCAGGGAGGGGGACAAATTGGGAGACCGGGGCTGACAAATACACACTACGATATATTAAATAGATAACTAATAACTGTGCTCGTGCATGGGGCGCCGTATCACCCCCTTCAACCGAAGAGAAAACAGTCCTAGAGAGCTTGTCACTTTGCGAAGGTCACACATCTACAGAGAGCAGGGGCCCTGGATTCCAGAGCCTGTGCCCCAGCGCCCACCCTCGCCCTTGTGCCAGTGGCTCCTGGGGGCAGACAGAGGAGAGCTGTCCTCCACTGGATTCACCGGGAGCCCACGTGGTGCTCACGCATGCTCAGACGCAGTGACAGCACGACTTCACAGCGACCTCGATCAGGGTCATCTCCGCGGAGGTGAGAAGGGGGCCACAGTTCAGGGGTTGAGGCTGAAGGCTGGGAGTGGGGAGGGTACAAAGGGGACAGCAGTGATGCTGGCAGGTGGCAGCGGTGTGGGGATGGAAGAGGCCTGGTCATTTTGGCGGGATGGCCAGCCCCCGAGGGCCCTGAACCTGATACTTAACCTTCCTGCTTCTCTTTCCTCATCTGGAGGGCGGGGATGATGAAACCTGGCTCCCAGGCTGTCACGAGCCTCTGACCAGCTCACACGTGCCGGGAGGACTACCTCATGCCCTGTGCAGCCCTGGCTCCAGGTGCCCCGTGGGTGTCCGTGGAGTCAAGGACGGGAGTGAGAAACGGGACGAGCGCTCATGAATGGACCCGGCGCCTGGCAGAAGCTGAGGGGATGGAACCTGGAGCCCAGGGGTCGGGGCTCGCTTAGGGCAGGAGGACACCATCTGCTCAGGGACAGATGGAGAGAGCTGAGGATGGTTATGGACAGGTCGGGGTGGGATGCGGATGCAGTGGGGGAGGAGCGGGTACTGAGAGGTTCTGGGACATCTGCTCTCTTCAGGTGGGTTGGGAAGATGGAGCCGGGAATTTGGGTGAGGACGCTTGGTTCAGAGTAGCAGTGATGAGCAAAGAAGCTGGTGAGGGCCGGTGTGGGGACCACTGGGCTGCAGGGACACCTCAGGCACGTTCGCAGTGGAGCCTTCCACCTGGCAGCTGGTGGGAGTGGGAGAAACCAGTAGCTAGACTGGTCAAGACTGGGTGTTTGCCAGCTAGCTGTGGTCAAAGGCAAGGGGAAAAGGGGAAGCCAAGATCCTACGAGGGAGTATTCATAGGGGTCACGGATGTCGCCCCACTTGGGAGCTAACAGGCTAGCCCGCCGCGGTTTCAGGGATGGTGCAGAAGACGCACGAGCCCAGGTCAGAGGCAGAGGACTGCTGTTCCCAGGGAAGTAACGTCCAGGGTGTCAGCGGGTGTCTGGAGGATGCTACCCACGGTGGCCGCATCACAAGAGGGGAACCGGGGGCCTGTGAACAAGCCTGGTCCTCGCCCCTGAAGGTCCCTCTCTGAGCAACGGCCCCGGGAAAGGCGGTCAGGGTCTGGTGCCTGCTTCTGGCACGCCCAACAGGACGTGCAGGAGTGTCTCCCAGCGGGGTCAACGGGGTGGACCTCGAGTCCAGTTTCTGGTCTGGCAGAGGCAGCAGTGGATCCGACGAGGACTGGTGACCGGGAGAAGGTCATCAAGAGGATGTGACTGCCGTTGGCCCTCGAGGCAATTAGAGTGTTGACGAAAATAATCCGTAATCTAATATAGGGATCGACACAGAAAGACAAGTATCATATGATACCGCTTATATGTGGAATCTAAAAAGAATGGTACAGATGAACTTACAAAACGAAAGTAGAGTCACGGGTGTATTAGAAAACAAACTTATAGTTACCATGGGGGAAAGCCAGGGAGGGGGACAAATTGGGAGACCGGGGCTGACAAATACACACTACGATATATTAAATAGATAACTAATAAAACCTACTGTACAGCACAGGGAACTCTACTCAATACTCTGTAATGACCTATATGGGAAAAGAATCTAAAAAAGAGTGGATATATGTATATGTATAACTGAGTCACTCTGCTGTACCCCTGAAACTAGCACAAAATTGTAAATCAACTATACTCCAGTAAAAAAACATTTTAAATCTAATATAGGAATAGAAAAGAGTTTTATCTGAGCCAAGCTGAGGACTGTAGCCCAGAAGCCAGCCTCTCAGATAGCTCTGAGGAGCTGCTTGGGAGAAGCGGGGTTTTCAGCACGGTTTTATATCTTTCAGAACAACAACATCAAACACGTCAGGGATGCATTCCTTCAGGGTCTCAAAACACCAGATCAGCCTGTTCACAGCGAGTCCGGATGGTCGTCTTGGCACCTGGGAAGGGATGCTGCCCGCGTGCCTGAGCCTTTAGTGGGTGTGGAGGGGGCGGGGCAGGGAAACTGCAGGTCCACAAACTCAAGAGATAACTAGGCAGAGGACTGAGCATCTGCTTGCTGACACACAGCGCTGGGTGTTGTGCTCGTTTCCTGGGGCTGCGTCCCAGCGTGCCACAGGCTGGGAGGCTGCCACAGCAGAAATTTGTCCTCTCACAGTCTGGAGGCCGGAAGTCCAAGGTCGAGGTGTCTGCAGGGCTGCACTCCCCCTGAAACCTGTAGGGGCAACTCTCCTGCCTCTTCCAGCCTCTGGCGGTTGCC